AAATCCCCTCAGGACATTATGTTTTTTGATGAGATAGTACCAAAGGAAGGTGGTAGTGTCCAAGGTCAGCCCAACTTTCACACAGCCAGGTTTGTCATTCAGGGGGTCTTGCACCTAGAACATTGACTATGCCGATGAGGTGCTTGGAGCCTGGAGGGACCACAGCCAGGAGCAGGGCCTCAGCAGCCTGGATGGCACCATCTTCCTCAGAGTCCATTATAACCTTTTCATGTTCACTGTGTCATACGCCATAGACATATATAAGTCACAGAACTTTTAACAACACGATGGCTCTATCCTTCATTATCTTAATTAACTATGAAGATTTAGTTTTCTTACCACAGAAGGTGTTTTGAAGAGAAAGGAGGAGTCACATGGTCTAGAAAGAAATTTAGACTTCCTACCCAGCCCAGAGGGAGCCCTTTGTGAGCAAGCAAGAAGAATATAGGAAAGAAAATGTAGGATGAACATGCAACATACCAGGTCTTAATTGTTGTAGTCACTTATTTAGGTGTGGAGGATTGAACGCAGGGCCCCCGACAGCTCTATACCCAGCCCCCGTTCCAGGCCTTCATTCCTATGCATGGCATTTGGTCTTTTGGTTTCCTCATACTGGAGCTATCAGTTCTAAACATCTTTTCTTTCTAAATTTATCCTCACTCTTGCCTATAGCGATGTATTCCGATCCAAGAATTTCCTTCCACACTTTGGGAAAATGCTGGAGAATATTTTCATGCCAGTGTTTGAGGCCACCATCAACCCCCAGGCTCACCCAGACCTCAGTATCTTCCTCAAGCATGTAAGCAGCACCTTGGGGCCTTGATAGTGCTGCCTCTGAGTGGAGCCCTGCCTGGCCATGACTAACTCTGGATTGTTATCTCTTGACTTTTGGTCCTTGCTTGAGCGCTGGAAGTTTGTCTGAGGGCAAGAAGCCTGCAGTTGGACTGAAACCATTGCATGGATTGTTTTCCTGACAGATCACTGGCTTTGACAGTGTGGATGATGAGTCCAAGCACAGTGGTCACATGTTTTCTTCTAAAAGTCCCAAGCCCCAGGAGTGGACGATGGAAAAGAACCCGTCCTACACTTACTATGCCTACTACATGTATGCCAACATCATGGTGCTCAACTGCCTGAGAAAGTAAGTACAGAGCCCGGGGTCGAGGGAGTCCCTGGGCCCAGCCCCTCCTCACAGCCTGGCTCTGCAGGTAGTCAAAGCTCTCGGTGTACTTCTGGAGTGTTTCCTACTGGCCCAAAGTAGAAGTTTCTCTCTCAAACTTTTTCTTCAGATTCTTAGGGGCAGCAAGAGGCATTTTTGGTGGCTTATGTAACTTTTGTTCCCAGTTCCTTTTCATTGGCAGTTCAGGAACTTACATCTATCACTGTGCATTTTATTTATTT